AGTAGTAGTACTAGTAGTAGTAGTAGTAGTAGTAGTAGTAGTAGTAGTCGTCGTAGTAGTCGTAGTAGTAGTAGTAGTAGTAGTAGTAGTAGTAGGAGTAGTAGGAGTAGTAGTAATCGTAGTAGTAGTAGGTAGTAGTAGTAGTAGTAGTAGTAGTAGTAGTAGTAGTAGTAGTAGTAGTAGTAGTATAGTAGTAGTAGTAGTAGTAGTAGTAGTAGTAGTAGTAGTAGTAGTAGTAGTAGTAGTAGTAGTAGTAGTAGTAGTAGTAGTAGTAGTAGTAGTAGTAGTAGTAGTAGTAGTAGTAGTAGTAGTAGTAGTAGTAGTAGTAGTAGTAGTAGTAGTAGTAGTAGTAGTAGTAGTAGTAGTAGTAGTAGTAGTAGTAGTAGTAGTAGTAGTAGTAGTAGTAGTAGTAGTAGTAGTAGTAGTAGTACTTCCGCAGGCCGAAAGATTTTCCTCTTGAGCCCCACATGTCGGAAACGACGCGCCGTTCAGGTGAGCGGATACATGTAGCGCTCTCTTCGAGGTTGGGTAAATATGTTATGGTTGGAGGTGCGGGAGTTGGCCGGGCCCGCTGTGGCGCTCGAGCAAATGGGGGGACTTTCGGGAAATGGCCAGGCCCGGGGTGGCGTTTTAGCTACCACGTGTTATGGGGGAAGGGAAGGGAGGTGGCCGGGCCAGCTGTGGCGCTCGAGCTTCCGACTTGGACACTTTGCTTGTGTGTCCTCGCCCTCCCTCATCCCTTCCTCTCCCCTTCCTCCTCCCACTCCCCCCCTCCTCCTCCCACCTCCTCCCTCCTCCTCCTTCCTCCTTCGTCCGTCTGCTTCGTTCCTCTCTCCTCCCTCCTCCTTCATCCTCCTTCTCCTCCTCCTTCTCCTCGTCCTTCCTCCCCCCCCCTTTCCCCCTGATTATTTATCCTCTCTCCCCCCCTGCGTCCCCTCTGTTATCCTCCCATCTCCTCTCGCCTCTTCCCTCATCCGTCCCCTCGTCATCCTGGGAAGACCGCCCTCACCCGTAGAATCATAACATGGGTCTGCATATCCACAGCTCCGTGGATAGCATGATGCTTCACTTGCGGTGCTCCGCGGATCCCATTTCCCTTGGCTCCCGGATGTTAATTCCAAACCTCCTGCGTTGGGTACTCGTTTTGAATAGAGCACTGCGGTCTCCACTCCTTCCTCCCGCCTCCCTCCACCTCTCTTCCCTCCTCCTCTCCCCTCTGTTGCTTCCCTTCTCCTATCTTCCCTCCTCCTCTCCTCCCTTGCTCCTCTCTTCCCTCCACCTCGCCATCCCTGGGTGGCTGCGATCTGTGAAACTGTCGCCACTTTCGAGGGCTGCTGTGGGGCGAGCAGAGTGACGTCTTACGGGGCTTCAGATTAGACCTCGCCATCGCTGGGGGGCTGCGATCCGTGAAACTGTCGCCACTTTCGAGGGCTGGTGAGGGGTCCAGCACAGTGGGTACTCACCGCAGACTCAGATTAGACCTCGCCATCCCTGGGGGGTTGCGATCTGTGAAACTGTCGCCACTTTCGAAGGCTGCTGAGGGGCCCAGCACAGTGGGTACTCACCGCAAACTCAAATTAGACCTCGCCATCCCTGTGGGGCTGCGATCTGTGAAGCTGTCGCCACTTTCGAGGGCTGCTGAGGGGCCCAGCACAGTGGGTACTCACCGCAGACTCATATTAGACCTCGCCATCCTTGGGGGGCTGCGATCTGTGGAACTGTCGCCACTTTCGAGGGCTGCTGAGGAGCCCAGCGCAGTGGGTACCCACCGCAGACTCAAATTAGACCTCGCCATCCCTGGGGGGCAGCGATCTGCGAAACTGTCGCCACTTTCGAGGACTGCTAAGGGGTCCAGCACACTGGGTACTCACCGTACGTGATGCTGTCCAGGGCGACGACGATAGACAACTTACTGATGGTGCGCGACCCCGGCCTTGACTTTCTCGCCCGCGGCCCACTGGCAGATCTTGCGGAGAAACTGCGGAAGTTCAGTTCCCGCACGGCAGCATGCAGGAAGGAGGCAGAGAAGCTGGCGCGCGAGCTAGGTCTCGATCGCTTCTTGCACTAGATATAAGCAGGTATGATCCTGTGGACAGGCAGCAGGCATGCGTGGACCGAGCTCCTGCAAAAACGAAACAGTCTCTTGCTTCCTCCCTCCTCTTTCATCATCGCCGCCCTAGTCCTCCTGTCACCTTATGCATTCATGCTGCTGTTGCCACGATGGCTCCTCGCCCCTTCCTGTTAGGTTCGTTCTTCTCTTGTCCCTCGTTCCCGCCCCCGTTATTGTTTAACAAGCCTTGAGACCTACTCCTCGTCTTATCGATTGCTGTTCTGTGAGTCGTGCAACATTACGCATCCCATGTAGGTCGCACTACAAATCGCCGCGCCTGCACTGTCACGGTTCCTGCTAATGTTTCCCTGTTCCGCTTGGCACTTGATGCCATTGGGTTGGGTACGTCGCAGGGTAATTTCTATGGAATATTTATTCCCGGGGGAAAAATCATCGTTTGTCACACTCAGGAAATTGGATTCGCGCAGTACAGAAGTAGGATCCACGAAACTCTCCCACACACGGAAAACTGATCAAATTGGATCTATGGGTGTTCTCATAATTTTAGTCCTAAAGGAAGAACTTTCGGCCCGGGGATGTAGTAGTAGTAGTAGTAGTAGTAGTAGTAGTAGTAGTAGTAAAAGTAGTAGTAGTGGTAGTAGTAGTAGTCGTAGTAGTAGTAGTAGTAGTAGTAGTAGTAGTAGTAGTAGTAGTAATAGTAGTAGAAGTAGTAGTAAGAGTAAGAGTAAGAGTAAGAGTAAGAGTAAGAGTCGTAGTAGTAGTAGTAGTAGTAGTAGTAGTAGTAGTAGTAGTCGTAGTAGTAGTAGTAGTAGTAGTAGTAGTAGTAGAAGTAGTAGCAGTAAAAGTCGTAGGTGTAGTAGTCGTAGGTGTAGCAGTAGTCGTAGTAGTAGTAGTAGTAGTAGTAGTAGTAGTAGCAGTAGCAGTAGTAGTAGTAGTAGTAGTAGTAGTAGTCGTAGTCGTAGTCGTAGTCGTAGTCGTAGTCGTAGTAGTAGTAGTAGTAGTAGTCGTAGTCGTAGTCGTAGTCGTAGTCGTAGTCGTAGTCGTAGTCGTAGTCGTAGTCGTAGTCGTAGTAGTAGTAGTAGCAGCAGCAGCAGCAGCAGCAGCAGTAGTAGTAGTAGTAGTAGTAGTAGTAGTAGTAGTAGTAGTAGTAGTAGTAGTAGTAGTAGTCATCGTACTCGTAGTAGTAATAATAATATCAGTAGCAGTAGCAATCGCATTAGCAGTAAGTAGTCGTAGTCGTACTTCTAGTGTTCGTGGCCAGGTTCGGAAACCACACCTGCACAGGTCCAGGCGATGCCCATCCTGGGCCAAGCCTGGCCTGGTCAGGATCGCTGCAGGTGTATTGTCCGCCACCGCGCTTGCAGTGGTAGGTGTGTGTCGGGCCCTGCCGCCTCTTGCGAAGCAATAGTTAAGGGCCCGCCGACGAATCGAGCTCAAGATGTGCTCATTTCTGTGACCCAGTCCCTGCGTTTTTGGCCTTCCAGGCCAAACATGTGCCAAATACGCAATTCGTGGTGCCTGGTGCCCATTGCACTTAGACCTGGCGTGTCCTCCTACAGGCGGATTTAGGAGGACAAATAAGACATAGTCAAACATAATAAACAATGTTCGATATAGTAACAAAATCGTTCCCGCACTATTTTCTGATTATTTTTTGAGTATTCCTCCTGTAGAGGGACCGGCCCGACTTAATATTAAACCTCGTGTGCCATTCGTGGTACCAGGTGCCCACTTGCACCAGTGCCCGGTGCCCCGCACCCCACGCCCCCAACGCGTATACAGCCAGCGTGTACAGCTGGACAAGCTGCCCCCCTCCGCCCCCCGCCGCCCGACCGCGGTGGTGGAATCGCGTGGCAGCGCAGCTGGAAAATCAGCAGCCCCCGCGGCGAGCTCCTGCCTCGATGACGTGGGCCCTGGCTTCGGACACCGGGCGAACTGTTCCACCTTGAGCGACCTCCGCCCGCAGAGGCCACCGGGGATCCCCGGAGGCTGCCTTGGCAAGGCCTCGGGCTGCGCAGAGAGAGCCCCCTCAGGTTGTCCCCGCGGCTGCCCGCGGCGCCCCTGGGGTGCTGACACTGCCCCGGACTACTCGGGGGCCTGTTGAGGCCAGCTGGGACTACTCGGGGGGCTGTCTGTGCGCAGCCCGAGGCCTTACCACGGCAGCCGACCCCAGCTTTCGCGTGTTTCCCGCGCTGGGGCTCTTCTGTCAGGTGGGCCCCGGGGCCGAGACACGACGGCCCCCAGAGCGCTCAGCCTCGGACGCCCACACTGGCGCCCTTGCGTCGAGGCGGCGCCACGGTCGGGCGGGTGGTAGTGGGGGCCCGGGGTGACCTAAATGGGGGGTGAAGAAAGAGGCCCCACAGGGGCTCTCGAGGGCCTCTTTTGCAGCCACTAGGGGTTCAAAAGGTGCCCTGCAAGATCCTTTTGGGGCACTTTCCTTCACCCCCTATGCAGGACCCGCCCGACACGGACCCGCCGCCGCTGGCAGTACCTGGCAGGAGGACAGCACAGCTGAGCTCGCGCCATGGCAGGCCTGGGCTCAGCCGAACCATCGAATAATCGGATCGGATCAGAGACGGATCGGATCGCCAGCGAAACGTCCCGAGCCGAACTGAGATGTCCGCTCCTGGCTCCGGCTGGCCGCGTCCGATGCCGGACCAGAACATCGAGTCGAAACGAAACAGGGGGCCACACGCGAACCCTTCCCCTACCCCCACGATTTCTGAGGGGGAGGGTGGGGGTTCACTTCGTTCGGAAGCTCCCGAGCGAAGTGAACCCCACCCTCCCCTCAGAAATCGTAGGGGGAGTGGTAGGGTTCGCATGTGCCCCCCCCCCCCCCCCTCATCGAATCGATTCGGACTCGCGGCCCCAGCTGGCGAATCGAACCGCATCGCATCGGATCGCACGCGACGCAGCGCTCGCGCGAGGCCTGAAGGTGTCCGCGTCCGCGGCGGAGGCGAAGCTCTGCTGCGCCTCGCGGAGCAGCAGGCGGCGGTCGTCGTGCGGGCGGGCGCCTTGGCGACGCCGCAGCTGCGCGCGCCCAGCGGGCAGGAGAGACGGGAGAAGAGCGAGGGGGAGTGTGAGCGAGGGGAGGGGGGAGAAGGGGGAGAGAATAGTTACGAAGCCGGCGCCCATGTGCCGTGCGATGCTTGTGTTCCCTTCAGGGCCCGCTCCTGCGCGGTGCGGTGCATAGTTCTTCGGCTCTGCGGGTCGGACAATTATGCGCCGCACCATTCCTGGGTTATGGATCGACGACGCCTCGGGAGACGCCAATGCGGTACGGTGCATACACGTCGTCCGCGGAAGAGTAGAGGGGGGAGGGGAAGGAAAGGGGGGGGAGGAGGGCGAGCGAGCGAGGCGCCAGTGCAGACTCCTGCGGCGAAGCGCGTGAGCCTGTGCCGTTTGGGCAAGACGTGTGAGGCCTTCGCCTCTCAAACCCTGTAAAACTCCGACTCACACGACACTCGTCATGGTTGCAGCTTGCAAGCCGGAAGCTGGAAGTCCTAATGCTGGCTGAGGTGTTGGGAGCTGGATTTCTGCTGCTGGGCGCTGGCTGGTAGTCGAACTGGTTGGGTCAAAAGTAGGAATCGAAACGCACGCGTGTGCTATTGGAGGCCGATCGCACGGGAGAGCGATGGGAGGGAAGACGGGGGGGGGGGAAGAATAGAGGAAAGAGGGAAGGAACGAGGGGGGAGGGAAAAGATCCGCCCTCCACCCGTTCAACTGCTGCGCAAATTTACGCTTCTGGCCACCAACTTTGAGGAAATCTTGAGCGACAACCCGATGCTGATAAAGAGAGCCGCACGCCATCCGTGCAGCTGATACACATGCGCACGCTTATGTCTTGATTCCTAGATTTGATGACATCTGAAAGAATAGCCTTAGATCAGGCATGTCCTCCTACGGGCGAGGTTTGGATGAACAGTTAGACATTGTCAAACATGGTCAAACAATCGTCAAACAAGCACGAAACATCGTCACCAGACTATCTTAAAACTAGACTTGGATATCCTATACGACCACCCTTCGGGTGATACGGAGGTCGTGGGGGGAGAGAGGGGGGAACCGACATCTGACTCAATCGACTCACTATCGATCTCAATCAACGGGACACCACGAGACACCACGGGACACCACGGGACACTTGTCGATCTCACTATCGATCTCACTTTTTGGGACACCACGGGACACCTCGGGGCACCACATCGATCTCAGCATCGATCTCAATATCGATCTCAATATCGATCTCACTCAACGGGACACCACGGGACACCGCGGGACACCGCGAGCCACCGACGGACGGACGGACGGACGGGCGGGAGGGGGAGAATCATTTGTCTTGACTTCGCCCTAGCAACGGCGGACACCACGGGACATCACGGGACACCACGGGAAACCGCGGGACACCGCGAGCCACCGCCGGACGGGCGGGAGGGGGAGAATCATTTGTCTTGACTTCGCCCTAGCAACGGCGGACACCACGGGACATCACGGGACACCACGGGACACCGCGGGCCACCGCGGGCCACCGCCGGACGGGCGGGAGGGGGAGAATCATTTGTCTTGACTTCGCCCTAGCAACGGCGGACACCACGGGACACCACGGGACACCGCGGGCCACCGCGGGCCACCGCCGGACGGGCGGGAGGGGGAGACTCATTTGTCTTGACTTCGCCCTAACAACGGCGGGTTCATTCCTCGCGCGCGCCCACGCAGCTTCGCCTCGCCCGCACGCGCGACACGAACGAAACGAAACGATCTCCGGGCTGGGGGTCTCCTTTCCACTGCGATCTCACCCCCCAACCTCCGACTCCTCCTGTAGAGGGACACGCCCGACTTGAAGATAAACCCATTTTGAAAGAAAGCTGTTCTCGAACCTTATCACTGCTGCACGCTATTAAGAGCAGTGTGCGCGGTCCGAAGGCGAGAGCCCAACTCTAGACAAAGGAGACGTTCTCCATCCTTGCAGTGGCTGCACACTTTTAGGACGAGACACGCGACGGGGCGGAGACTACCTCCCGTGGACCTGAGGAATTGGCGAAGGCCCGTGGCACCCTGAAGGATCCTCGTCCTCCTCGTCGTCGTCGTCGTCCTCATCTTCCTCCTCCTCTTCATTTTTCCTCCGCCCGCAACTCTTCCTATCCTTCTCCTCCTCGTCATCCTCCCCCTCCCCTCCTCCCTCCGCCGCTTCCTGCTCCTCCTCCTCCTCCTCCTCGCCCTCCTCTCTCCTCTTAGCTATCCGTATCCTCCACCTGGTCCTCCTGCTCCCTCCCCCACCCTCATGCTTTACCCTCCAACCCATCCCCATCCCACTCATCCCTCACCTCCCTCTCCCCCCAGCCCTCCCCCAATTCAGCGGAGGCCCCTGGAAATAAACAGAGAAGAAACCAGAAACGCACCATAGCCTCGATCTTCTCTCTACCTCTGGAAGCAAAAAACGAAACGTCAACCCAAACATCCTCTGGTCTGGTTCCATCAATCTGGGGCCCCCCAAGAGATGCCCCCTTCCCTGGGGGTAGCGTTTAGTCCCAGATCCGTTTGTGCTGGCCCTGGCGCCCGATAACAGGCCCCCAGATTACGAAACTGAAGAAATACGTCCAGATTGAAAACAAAAATCAAATCATGGGCACAAATCTTGAACCACGATCGGGATCCTAAAACCGTGTGGTGACGGACCACGCGGTGATCTCGAAGTCCCAGGAGACCTCACCGCGCGGTCCGTCACCGCGCGGTCTCGGGATCTCGGAGGCCCCAGTCGCCCGAAAGACGTCCTCAGAGAACGACCCGAGTCCCAAAACCGTGCGGTGACCCCGACCCCCACTGACTCGCAAGGCGGCGTGGTCACTACACCGTTTGGGGGCCCTCCGACACGATCCTCGACCCCCCGCAGGATCAGCCCGCTCGAGTCGGGAAGCCAGATCGAATCGAAATGTGCGTTGAATCGGGTCGCATCGGCACGGAGTCGGACTCGAGCCCGCTCTGCCGCGCCATGATGCACAACGACGCCATGCACATATCGGGCCGCATCGGACCGGCGGGGTATCGGGATCGGACGGGATTGGGCCGGTCGGAATCGATATCGAATCGGATCGATCGGATCGAAATGGACCGAGGCTCAATTTCAGCTCGAAGACGGCCCAGGACCAACCGGAGGCAGCTGCCAGATGCTCAGGGGGAACGTTAGAGAAGAGGACTGGCAATTACAGGGGGGACACATCGACCTGGAATCGGCGATACATCGCCCATGGGTCGGCGATAGGCCCTCGATGCCGAACCCGGCACATTCCGCGGCGGGATGGGCCATGGGGCCCCCTTTCGGCGATGCATGGGCGATCAGGGTGTCGGTGCATCCCACCCTGAGTCCATCCCCGACGACCACGACGACGACGACGACCTCCGAAGAAAGATCCAAGGCGGCTCCACGGCGGCCCAAAAGGAGCCGAGCGCCGCCCCGCTGGCCGCGCGCCTGCCACCGAACTCACGGCGCCGAGGCTGGCGGCGCTGATCTGGCGCCGCAGCCGCGCCTGCTCCAGCAACTCCTGCTCGAGCAGCCGCCCCTTCTGCGCCTGCCAGCGGCGCCCCCTCCCGCTCTCGCCGCCGCCGCTCGCCTGACGTTTCTGACTTTTCGGCCAGCGTGAACAGGGTTCGCAGGCGGCAGCTTTCATCTGTCACTGAATTAGAAGGAGGGGTGCTGCTACCCCGCAGTCTTTTGCTGTCCGAAGGTTTCCAGGGCCGCCGCCTCCTACCATGACGAAGCCCAGACCGATTCTTAACACCCCGCAGACATCACAGGGCGATGGCTCTCGCCGCCGCCGCGGCCCGCCTCCTCCTCCTCCTGGCGGTTGGGCCCCAGCAACCGGTGAACGACGAAAAGACACGGGCCTTACGCAATGTGGCGTGGCGACCTCGCGCAGTGGTTCCCGCGGGCCGCGGCACACTGCATCGGCGACGAGGGCGCGAGCGCGCGACCTTACGCGGGCAGCTTGCGCGCGGCTGCCCGCGCAGTCGAACCCAGGTCGGCACAAGCCCGGGTTCCACACCCTCCTGGGGATACACTGTGTTTGCGCAGGCCCCTGGGTCCTCGCAGATCGATCCGGCTCGACGAATGGCGCAGAAAGACGGGGTCTAAAACTCCAGGCCTGATTCTCTACAACGTTGTATTTTTGCGCGTCGTCGGGACCTCGAGGTAACCTGGTCAACACAAAGCAGGGTCGGAAAGGCCCTGTCGCGAAGCCTGGCCAACCCCGTAATAGCTCCTAAACCTGGGTCAGCGGAGGGCGGAAAGGGGGAATCGGCCCCGCCTGGCTCCCAACCACGGGTCAGCCAGCAGGGATTAGCTGACCCTGTTAGCGCTGACCCCCGTCCCTGGCAGGCGGCAGGCTGGTGCATGAGGACGAGGTCCTCCGCGGTTTCGTTGTAGTTGTCGTAATAATAGCTGATGGTCGGCTATTCGGAATGCTGTTCGTCGTTCGTGGTAGTAGCTGTGCGCGAAGGCGTCCAGGAATATCAAATGAATTTCGGCGCTGGCAATCGTAGGCGTGGGCGTTGGAAAGAATGCGGCGCTGTGCCCGTGGCAATTGGGGTCTACACAGCTCTAGGGTGATTGTTGGCCCAATGGTCCGGTGGTGCAGCCGGGGCGACCTCGATGACGATGTTATTCGCGTCGTGGTCGTGGTAAGTGTTGGCGCCGTAATGGTGCCGAGCGACCGCCGCCTCCGTGGAGATCAGGCGTCGGCGTCTCGCGGCGCGGCGGGCCGCGGTGGGGTCGAGTGAAGCGGCCCCCCGCGCCCGCTGGGGGCAGTGGTGGGCAGTCCCCCGTCTGTGCGTCCTGGGGCCCAGCCTGGGCGAGCATTGGGGCCATGGGGGGGCCCGCCGCTTCCACCCAGGCTGGGCGGTCGCCGCGCATCGCCGCGGGTGTCGCGGCGCCAACTCATGGCGCGAGCTGTGCCTTCCTCCTCCTCCTCCTCCTCCTCCTCCTCCTCGTCCTCGTCCTCGTCCTCGTCCTCCTCCTCCTCCACCTCCCTGTCTTCTTTCAAGGCACGAGCAACGGCATAAACATAAGCTTTCGGAACTCCGCGCTGATTCGTGGAATGGCGCTGGACCACCGCCCTGGCGCGCGGAGCGCGCCATGGGCGGCGCCGGAAACGCTGCCACGGGTCTGCAACGCCGATCTGAGAAATTTGCGCGGAGCTCCTGCTTCCTGTCTTTCCCGCTTGCTCCTCCCCCCCTCGGCCATCCGCTTAGTCCTCGCTTGACACACCAGTTGGGCCTCCTGGGGCCCTTCCTCTCTCCATCCTGCCATCCCCTCCTCCTCCCACAGAGATCTAAAACAGGGCTAGGATCGGGATAGATCGCTCCAAAGCGTTCCGGAGCGCTCTCAGAGCGTTCGGGAACGCTCTGGAGCGGCCGCGGCGCCTAATACATCTTCCAAACCCGCCGATTCTAAGAAATTTCGAATTATCCCGATCCGATGTTGTCCCGATCTTCGCGTCGTTTTAAGATCCCTTACCGTGAACCGGTGGTGCCGGACAACATACCCATCTGTCTCTGACCATGCATGTCCACTACCTGAATCTTCGTTCCCGCTTGTGTTTCCGACTTGTTATGGTCTGATACAACTCTGGGCTATATAGTCAAGATCCTATGCAAGTTCGGAGTCGTATGTTCTTAGCACCAAGTCATGTCAAAACGCTGTCGGGATAAGCTATATAATATGTAATTGCATACGTACACGCTCGCACGATATATTAACCGAGCAAGGAAAGAGGACAACCAGGGTCAGGCCTCAAGCCGTAGTAGATCACGTTCAGTGTACTCGGACTTCTTGTAGTCCACCTTCCTGGCCACGAACTGCTTGCCATGGATGCTATTGTTGTGCCGCGTGCCGGTGCTGAAAAGGCGCATGATCTGAGGGAAGATTCCCGTCCTGGTTAGAGCGTCAGATTTCATGTTATGAGTCGGGCAGTGCATGAAATGCCTGATACGTCCTGTCAACCGTTCTTCACGTATAGAAAGGATGGACAACCTACTATTCTTGTCGCTGGGCATTCCCTTCGTACCGCAGCGCAGTTGCCAGACATCCCGGCAGTCAGTGTAGTGGTCCGTGACAATGTCCATCTCGCATGAATCGAAATATGCCAGAACGTCTCGAGGTCTGTGATGATATTGAGTGCTCCTTAGCAGCTCCGTGAATCTCATACAGATGAACTGCGCGTGCTGGCGCACCTTGTAGCCTGCATGGGTCACTGGCCTCGGCGTGACATGTACTGTGGCTGATCCTCTTGGCCTTGCAGCTCTGGATGACCATCTTGTGACAGGGTCCTCCGAAGTAGTGCTCATCTTGGATGTCCGCCTTGTCCTTCTTCAGAAGCACCGCGCTGCCTTCCTGAGGATATGCTGTTATGGAGTTCCCATGACTTGCGTCCGCCACCGATGCCAGTCGAAAGGGGGGCTCCAACACAGGAAAGTGAAGTCCAGCCAGATGTAGATTACGATGTGCTCGTCCGATGGTAGCGTTCAACTGAATCAAGTGCTCCACCTTGGCGTCTTTTCCGCATTGCTAAAGCTGGGCAGTATCGAAGTATATCTTCTCGCGTTTGGCGCAGCCATCTATGAACAAATGCCACTTGTCTCTCATTTGTCATGATAACTTTGTTCAGGGTATCGACGAACTTGTCTTGATGAATCAAGAGATGCCAGGTTCCGATGAGATCTCATGTCGTTCCCATGTGAAAACAGAAGAAAAGAGCGTGCCTTGTCACCATACCGAAACGTTTTTTTTTCCCCCGTCTTCTGCTGGGCCCACTGCATCCAGTCCTCCAGTGCGAAGACAATTGCGTCGTCCACGTGCGCCGTCCTGATCATCTTGATTTTGCCGTCCTCGGCCCACGTGGAGAAGTTATCGTCAAACGCGCTCTGGCCCCCCTTGAGGTCGTTCTTGGTGAACATGCTGAATGCGAACTGCAAAAGTAATGGGGCACCCACTGTGCCGTGGATATGTTTCAGTAGGCGTGGATCGAAGAACTGGGACTTGGTGTCGCTGGTTTGTAGCTGAGACTTGTCGTAGTTGCGAAAATGACGCCAAACGTTCGATGGAGGTGCCATGTACACCTTCCGTTCTTGTCGGATCTCACTGCCGAGCTGAGCTGCATTGCGCCGGAGGTCTTGGTAATTCAGGTCCCGCAGGAATGCCGTAGATATGTCCGAGGATTCAGTTTCCATGTCTTTCTCGATGCTGAAAAGAGAGGCCACCATCCTTTGCGACACTAGTGGCGCCGCACTGCTGTGGCGCATGACATCGTGCATCTGAGAATCCAAGAAACCGCGGCCACCGAATCGTGATTTGATCACATAGTACAGCTGGTTGTTCTCATCGCGCATCTTCTTCCATCTCCGCGCCCATGCTGCATCTATGATGTTGCCGCTGTCGAGACTGTTGCCATGTGCCGCGCTCCAGTGTTGGTATATCTCGGCCTCTGTCGAAACATCATCGCGCTGGGCGGAGATCGCCTCGCCCGTGACCGTGTCGGAATTGAAGCATCTGTTCTCCTGGAACGGGCCAGGTATCACCCAATGCGCCGAGGCAGCTTCCCATGATAAAACTCGTTGGTCCATATTATGAAGTTTGGTGGAAACATCGCTCGCCATGCTCATTATCAGGTTCTGGTGCTCGTCTATCTCGTCGTCCTCCAGGTCTGGAGCGCACAGATCGTGCGTCTTGAAATCGGCAAAGGTGACCTTCTGGTTGAGGAAGGCGTGATAGTCTCCCAGAAACTTGGGATGCTGAGTGTCCGTGAGCAAGGGAAGATCTATCATGCCATTCTTGGAAATAAGTGAGTGATGTCCCCGTTTGTTGCTGACCTCGTCGGCGGTGTCCATCGTGTCGTCCGAACCGGAAGCTCTCGTAGCCAGTGCTGGAGGGCCATGTTGATCTGCTGGAGCCTCTGGAGTGTTCGGGTCGTCGGTCCTCCTGATCTTGATCGCCGGTGAGCTCGTCCCTGATGGGACGTTCTTGACTTTCGATACTCTTGTTTCTATTGGAGTGCGTGGTTTTGAATCTCTTCCAGGTTGTCGACCGTGGTCGCTGGCGATGACTCGCCGTCGGGATCGAGGTTTGTCTCTGCTGCTGGCGAGGCCGGTGGAGTACTGATAGTGGGTGATGTAGATGCTGTCTGTCGTGCTGGTGATGTGATTGGCATCGTCTGTGGTGCTGATCTGCCTGAAGAGGTAGCTGTTGGGTCGGGGGGTTCAGCAACTGGTAGCCGTGGAGAGGTCGATGGTTGCGGTGCGGATGCTGGTTTCTGCGGGCTGTCGGGCTTGATCGTCGGTGCCTGTGACGTTCTAGGTTGTGTCGTGGTAGATGCCGCTGGAGTAGTTGCCGCCGCTGAACGCCGCTGTCTGTCTTCTCTCCCAGTGTCTAGGATCGTCGCAGGAACGTTTTTTCTGTAACCTTTTTTTCACTGGGGTCGGGGCTTCCGTTGACGCTGGAGGCAGTTTGCGCGGCTCGCAACATAGCAGCGCAATTCAGCGCGCGCGGGGGCGCACGCGGGCACTCAGAAGCGCGCAG